TAGCCAAACAATGTCTATGGCAGTCAGTGCAAGAGCATGATGTTCAGCATCGTGGAGGACCATGTGACTGTATGTTGTTTCTTTTGTGCGCCATGAAATTATGGTACGACCTAGGAATGCAGAACACCCGGCTGTGGAGATCACTTGCCCAATTGAAGTCAGAATAAGCCTGGAGGAAATAGTTATTATGATAGATTAGCTGACCAAATAATCTTTTTAGTTGTTGAAAGTGAGTGTTGAGGGAGATATGCATATGTTGACATACTTGATTGATTATGTAGAAAATGTTGGGTCATGTATATGGTCTCTTCAAGGGTGCCATGGAGAAAGGCATTGGAAATGTTAATTTGATAGGCCAGTTGGTTGTGGTAGCGACTATAAGAAAGATTTGTATGGTAGTCATCTTAGCCATTGGCCTTAAGATCTCTATATAATCAATACCATATTTTTGTTTATAGTCTTAAGCAATTAGTCTTGCTTTATGATGGGTGACTTAGCTATCATAATTTAATTTGGTATTGTAGGTCCATTTATAACCTAATATGTCTTGAGAATTGAGATGGTAAAGGTGGAACATGGAGCTAGACGCCTTGAGCTTGGATAGCTTTGAAATCTTGTGATATAACCTTTTGTCATATTTCATGTTTAACAACTTGAGAAAAATAGGTTGAGTCGGGAGGGTGTGTTGTTGTGTGGTTGAGGGTGAATATGCGTTTAGGTTTAAGTTTGCCAATTTTTCTTACGAGTGAGCATGGTATGTCTAGTTTGATCATTATGGTGATAATGGATTAGACTTGCAGTAGATTAGGTTGAAGGAGGTGTTGAAGTTCTTGAGTTTGAGCAATAGGATCATGTAAGAAATTGAGCAACTAGTTGTTAGAGGGGGAACTAAGGTGGATGTGGTTTGTGGTGTTGAAGTAGAGGTCATAGGAGTAGAGTGTGGGAGTGTATTGGAGGATAGTTTTGTGGTGGTTGTATGAGCTGACTAACGAGTGGAGGCTAGTACTGGTGTTAGAGGCATAATGTATGTGATGGCTAGATGGGGTGAAGAGAGGTGGTTAGAAGAGTGATAGGGGAATGTGTTATTGAAATGTTACATGTAGGAGATGACTATTTTGCATGTAGTGTGTGTGTTTGTGTTAAGTATAATGTATAAGTATTTTAAATGGAAGAAAATATTAAGAAATAATAATAATAGAGAAAATTCTATAATATGTAGTATAAATTAAATGATTATATAAGATTTTAGTTATATAATGTTAAAAATTAGTTATTTAATTCTATGCTATGTAATAAACTAGATTTATAAAGGATAATTTAAGTACTTGAATAGAGAATTTATGGGTTAATGATGAGTTGTACACATGGATAAAAATTAGATTTATTTGTTCTAAGGAGTAAGGATTAACTAATAATAAATTCTATGCTTGAATAAAAGAATGATATTACTGGATATGGTACTTAAATTATAGTAATAGAAATATATTTGTCGAATTAATTAATATGAATGTCTTGTTTATCATTCAAAGTAATCAATATAGAACTTAAAGTTTAAAGTGCAAAAGCATGTCATTTGAACTTGAGGTGGTTACTCATTTATCTAATTTATGGTTATATATTGTTTATTCTAAACCAATTACATTAAATGACATTGATACTTGATCAATTAATAGTTATTGTAAATTCAATCATGATTTCTTTTTATCATTGAAATTATTGGTCACGTTGAACTGGTGATAGTTATCATATCATGTTTCAATTAATTGTTACATATAATGTGTATTATAAAAATTTATTAAATGAAATAAAAAATGTGGATGAAATGAACCATATAGAGCTGTTTGCACGTACATATTGACTTATAGAGTTCATCTGATATGGTTGGTTGGGAATGCAATCTATTCATGTGGATATCATAGAAAAGGTTTGGAAAGAAAAATGGAAATAGATGTACCTTAAATGATATAATTAAGATGGTGACTCTTATAACAATTGTGTTACATAAGAAATAAGACAAATGATATATGATATGGTTACGTGTATGTAAAGAAAGATTTTAAAACTCTTGCATGGCCATATTTAAATACAATGGATTGCCAAATGATTTATGCTGATTTTTTATATCAAGCATGCATATTGATATTTGAATTCCGTTAGATTGTTGTAATTTAGAAATCTGATATTTCCAATGAGTGATGATAACTCATTATCATTGTAACTAATATTTTCATGGTAAGATGTTAAAAACTGAATGAGCGGACAAATAGAATCGATTTATCATAGGCATGGCACTATAATAGAAATGTATTTACATTAAATTTATTATAGTTTTATTATAGAAAGAATTTCATGATTTTGTAGCTTGTTCAATATATTTGAAGTTGTTTTTATGAAAAAGTGAAACAATCATTTTGATATTAGTTGATGCTAGTATTTAAAATTTCATGTATCTATCTGACTGTATGTTAGCGCTTTAGTGCTTTGAGCTCTCAAGTAGGGTTTTGAGATGTAGTTGGGTTAAAAAATTTGTAAACTTTGGATGTGGGATTGTAATCGAGGAAGATGCATGAGATAGATCAAGGAGCAAATTGGTTCCTACATTTTGCGTCTAATAGAACACATATGAGGGATCCTCATGGAAATTGGTTTGCGCCACCTCCAAATTATGAACCAATTATAGCTCAAGGTTTGTTTCTAGAGCTTTTACCATTGCAGTTGCACTGTGTTTTTAATTCTAGTATTTTCACAATTACTTTGTTCAGAAAAGTAATAAATTGAATATAATAAATGGATGCGAAGTTAAAATTGGATTATATTTGGGGTTTCGTGCTAAAATTTGAACCATCTTTTTGTGTGTTAACTACCATAAATCCCAATAGCACTAAAAAATTATTGGCAAATATCACAAGTCTCTGAGGTTTATACATTGCTTTGTGTAGATCAATGTTTTTAAAAATTGTCCATTTTATCCCCTTATATACAGAATTTTTTCAAGATCCTTTTATTAACATAACCATCAATTGAGAGAAAATAAGAAAAATACCTTCTACATTTTCCCTCAGCTTCCTTCCTCTTGTGATTCTGATGCAGATGCCTCCTATTATCCTCTCCCTAGTGTCCTCCCGTTTGATATCTCAGATAATTTAACTGCCGCTTGAAAGTTCTCACATCATCTTCTGCGAAAACCCCATTCTCATGCTCTGCTAATTTATACTCCTTTATACTCCTCAGTCAAGATAAGGCATTTGAGGCTCCATTGCTCCGTTTTTCTTCTTCTCTGACACCAGCGGAGTCAGTAGGTTGTGCCTCAATGAAGATATCCTTAGCCCTCTCAAGTTTAAATTCCTTCAAAAGCTTTCCTTTTCCCACTACTTCTTCATCACACTCAACCCAGACCTTGCCTGCTTTAAAGCTTCCATTGTCAATCCCGGTGAGAACTTCCTCTTTGGCCACATCCCTAGCGGGTTATTTCAGCAATTTAGGTCCATCTGATCAATCTCCTTCATCAGAAATCATTTCTCCGTGGAGATTCTGGCAATCCTCTGGTCGATCTCCTTCTGTCCACTTTGCATTAACATTCCATCTTAAAGGGAGGGCCACTATTGTCTTCAGCAGTTATCCAAGTTTCCAAAGAAATCAAATGTAGCTTCACATGATTGAATTTAACAAGGAATTTGTGAAGCCGCCAGCCCCAAAGGATGACATTGAAGACCAGAATTAAGTTGGTGCCATTGTGAAATCACAAAAGATGTTAGAGACTAATGTGGAGGTTTTTAATAACTGTAAACCTATGAAAGTGAAATATGCTTTAAATTTGGAGGAATTTTGGTGGTGATTACCCTAACATAGTCTCCAAATTTGGTACAACTTAAGATAATGCATGCAGTTATCTTAAGACCTGCTTGATTCTGGAATCAACTTTGTAAAATTCTCTCATATCTTATTTTCCAATTTTCATCTCGTTTTTTTAGATGGAAGTGAAAATAATTTAAAATTATTTTTTCAAAAATTCTCTCAACTTTTTTGACATGGGCTTAGGACCGGCATTTTTTTGAATTTATTATTTCAAATAGATAAAATATAAATAAAGGATGATTTATTGTACTTCTACAAGTATGAGAAAAGTCTAATTCATTAAATTTTTAAAAGTTGGTGCTATTAAGTAAGAACATCATCTAGTTCTTGGAGGCTTTGTTTATAACTAACAAAAAAATATATTTGCTGGCTTAATTGATTGTTATGCTAGTGTCGTTTCAAGGTAAACTTAAAGAACAATCATATTCCCCATACTGATTTCCGAAGCTTACATAATGGAAATGTGAGATGATCAATAGCACTTACATACCTACAAAAAATGGCAAACAGTTTCTCAAATTTATCAAACATGAACTCACTGAGATTAATCAAACACAGTTTCTTATTCTTTTTTTTATTTCATTTGTCCTATCTACTGCAATACATAATGGCAAAAAAAATCATGAAGCATTTATTACAAGGTTTCTCAAAAAATAAAAAATCCTTTGGGAAGAAGCAGCGCCACCAACGCACTAACTGCGCAAACTAAAAATAAAAAAGAATGGAAAACAGAGAAGAATGCAGCGAACCTTCTGTAGCTCTTGGGGCCTTCGACAGTCGAGCGGCAAGCCGGCAACACATTGTAATGTTGAGGACGGAGAGCCAGAGACCTTCAGGATTTCGTGTCTGGGAGAAATCCTCCTCCTGCACCAGAATGGTTTACTTTCTGCATAATTAAGTAACAATCTAAGTTCATAAATTGAATATAATGGATGATGACAATATGAAATATATAAATTAAATTGTACGTTTAAAATTAGACTAAAAGTTAATTATGATTTTGGCGCAAAGTAAGACGTAGAGTACTTGAAATCAAACATTAATCCGACACTATACCTGATATATTTTTATGTTTATTATTTTAATTTCTTTGTCTTTTTTTCTTAGAAAATTCAAAAGCATGTCAAATTTTTATTTGGCAGGGTAGAAGTCACCTTCAAGAAAATTGTTGAGATGATCAGGTTTGGCTCTGTTGTAAATGGGAAGATGCCATAGAACACAATTTATTAGCAATCTCAATGAAGCATGGCCTTTCCGATGGCTCTGTTGACCAGCACTGCTCCATCAAGTTTCTCCACTCAGGATCACAAGACTCTGGAATGAAAGGCCTTAGAGTGTTGTTCACTATCCCATCTATTAATAATGCTAGTTGTTAATTACATGTGATATTAGTATAACAAAAAATGATGTGAGATAGAATGGTACCTATAATTGCTTCATCAGGTATGTTGGCATATGGCTCTTGGCCCATAAGTAGCTCCCACATCACAATACCAAAAGAAAATACGTCAACCTAGGTTCATGATACAAATATTATAAAGAATTTAAGATAAAAACTTATTAATTTTTTCAAGCATTTGAATTTTTATACATACCTTTTCGGAGACCAAATCTCTTCTTCCATTCATAAGCTCAGGTGCCATCCATGGGATTGTTCCTCGTGCACTACCAGATGATATCGAGGTCCTACACTTTACTTTTGAAAGGCCAAAATCGCCGACCTACAAATAAATTAATCCACAAAGAATTATCCACTAATATATTCAACCAATATAAAATGATAACGTTTATACCTATGCTGAAATTATAATATTTAACTTTTAATTTTTTAAATTTTTTATATAAAACTTTTAATTTAAATTAAACTTATGTTTTTATAACTTTTAATTTAAATTTCAATTTAAACTTATCTAGCTTTCAATTTAATTTATTTTTTTTATATAATTTATCTAACTTTTCATTAAATTAAATTGAAATAAAAATTCTAAAAAGTTAGATAAATTTAATTTTACTTATTTTTAAAAGTTATAATTAAATAAATTTAATTAAAAGTAAATTTAGATAAAATTAAATAATATATTTTGGTGTTAAGGAAGAATAATACGAGCAAACAAAAAAAGGGAGTAGTATAATGAACCTCATGACACTCTTTGTAAGCATGTAAAGTATATGACCCATCATATGGTGGGTTGACTACCTGCGGAGTTAGATTTGTTGCACCAGTAATATTTAAATGACCTGAAAAATTCAGATGCTCCAACATTGAAATATCATAATTATTTTAAAAAATCTATTCATGGTGTATGGAAAGAAGCCAAGTTGATAATATGGGAAAGAACAATAAGAGAAATACCTTTATCCATGAATCCATTGCCTCTGACATCTAAATGATGTGTAGAGGTAGCACCTTCTATGTTGTATTTTTGGGCATTAGCATCAGAAGTTAATTCCACAATGTGGCTTGACTCACTATCATTGAACTCAGTCAAAGAATTCTCCCTGTCATATGGGGGGAAGAGGAATACTTGAAGTTTGGCGGATTCATATTCAAAGGCCTCTAATAGGAAGTCACACTCCTCCATCATATTGTCCAATTCTTCATCAGATGTGATGGAGATGAGGGCGTGGAGGTCTTGATCTAAAAGTTTGTAGCAGATGACGACAGGGCCGCCATAGGTATCTTCCATCTTGCAATAGAATTCATTTAGTGTGATATCTCGAGGGAAGATCATTATACGAGTTCGTCCTCCCACATAGTGTAGGGCGCCATCGCTAAGACGTGGCATGAGCTTGCCACCAAATTTGCAGCAGAGTTTTATCTTGCGGGATGATTGGAGGTTAGAAGTTTGTGCGATGGTGGTGGCAGAGGGGTTCTGGTTAATGTTCAAGGGGCCAAGAGCCATAGGAAAGAATGGATATTTGGAGGTGCGAGAATTGGAATAAATGCTAGGAAGATGAAATAGTGATGAGAGTAACTTGACTGGGGGCTCATGCAGATATTTCCGAAAAGATTGCAGCAGCTGGATCATTTTGGAAGTGAAAGAGAAACAGTGGATTTTCGGGAAGTGAAGAGAGCGAATTGGATATTCGGTGACAGTGGATAAGATAAACGTGAATGATGCGCAGATACAGGTGAACAAGAAAAAGCTCTTAAAGGGATCCTCGAAGCCGATGGGGTGCTCGCGAAATCCTTCTATTGAACTCAATTGAAAAGAGGCGAATGTGGAAGATAAAAGGATTACAGGCGAAATCCTTCTATTGGACTCAAACTGGTAGCAGGAGAACTTAATTGCTTAAGGTGAAAAGAGGCGAATGTAGAAGATAAAAGGATTGCAGGCGAAATAAGTAAAATAGGCGACGCACCATCCTTCGGAAGTGGCGCGCGAAATAGGCGGCCTCAACTGATTGCCGGTGAAGTAAATAGGCTTGACTTTTGAAGCGGAAGTTGCTCTTCAGGCTTTTAGCGATTTGAATTCTTCTACATTGTTATATTTTAACCATTTGAATTCCTGTAAGCCTACTGCTTCTCTGCTTCAATATCGGAAGGTTTGAACAGGTAAAAGATAAACCAAAATAGAGTTTTACTGAACAAAAATCAAAATATATATTAAAGATTGAAATAATAGCTTCTCTTTCTTAAACGTATCATAACTGGTAGGGTTTTTAGTCAATATATATGAAACAATTGCTTCCTTTCCTGCTTATGCTGCAATTGCTTATTCTGGGATTGCTTTCGTATTGTCATACCTTCTGACATAGTTGAGAGAACTGTCATTTATTTTTTTATCTAATTTCTTATGTTGAAATTTATATAATTTATTTGACGATTTATCTCAGTTTATTTATTTGATAAAGTGCACATTCCATTGAGGAAATAGCAGTCCTTTACAAAATGTTCATCAAAGTTCTCCATTGGGATTGCATCTTAGTTGTTTGTTGAAATGTCCACAAGCGTATAAACTATCTTCTACAAGCTATTTTTTATAACCTGCAGCACGGCTTTTGCTTACTCGTGTACCATATAAAGAGAATCATGGTAGGCTAAAAATTGCTTGAGCATGATAGCAGTGTCCATAGATTTTCTAGAAAATTGCATAATTATTGATGTCGAGGTGTGAAAATTTAAGGAATGACTATCTTCTATAGAAAAAAATAAACTAACAATATGTGCAGGTTATTTTGAGAATGCAATGGTGATATCGGGATGACACGCTAGAATGAAATCTTAAGCATCCTAGCATTACGTGCAGGAAGTCACTTTGAAATGTAATAACGATATCGGAATGACACTCTAGAATGAAATCTTTGGCATCCTAGCGATGCGTGCCTTGCTCACAATTTGTTTGTTAACTTCAAATTTTCTTGCAGATTGATGAAAGTGTAAGAGAGACAGTTTTTGTCAACTTGTAGCATTTATTGACGAGGCAAGGACAATGGCTATTGTGTATGACAAGTACTATATGTCATAGGCCCTTTTAACATCTCTTTGATTCAATTTTAAAATTTATTACATTGGAATTGATTTGTTGGTACTTCAAAGTTCTGCTTTGCAATTTATGTCAATATTGGATTATGATATGGAACATTTGGTATTGCTTTTGTTACCATTGCTAATGTTATTGGGTTCAATTTCTGCTACATGAAATAAGTTCGAAAATTTGGAACTATAACTAGTCTCCCAAATTCCTCCCAAGGGCTTCATGAGATTAATGGCCTCTACCTAACAAAATTAAGATCCCAACTTGTTATTGCTGGTTCTTTACTCTTTCGATGATATTGTAGAAGTTTTGCTTTACTACTTTTTTCATATGATGGAGCTTTGGATCTCACTATCTTCTACTATTAGTTTCTCAAATAATCAAATAGGCCAAGATCTTATGAGAAACCTTGAATGATCTTGGAGTTGTAGTCACAAATGAGTAGTATTGAATTATTCTTTATAGAAATGCATGACATAGTGATCAATTGTTAAATTTATAGGTCTTTGATTTTTGCCTCACTTGTTAGAAGTATTTCCTTTTGCAGAGGATGAATCTGCATCCATGAGCTTAAAGAATGCCTTATTTTTCCAAGTGCTGAAAATGAGTTTTGGGAAGTCCTTTTGTGCTTTTTGGTCAGCTTGTGGTGCTAAATTTAAGAATAAAGCTATTTAACCATTTTCTAAATAATGAAATGCATTCGGCATCAAATGAATAAGAATTACATAAATAGAGTTAACATCTCATTTAGAGCTGAACAAGAATGAATGGACATGTTGCTTGTTTTTTCATAGCTCTGATTGAATAATGTAATCTACTTAGCATTTATAATATGATTTAAGCAGTTTATTTATAATATATTAGTGATCAGTCAAAATAAAAGTGTGTAAAGCATAGGAAACTTGTAGCTTTAAACTTTCTTGCATCATGGGGAAAGTTAACAAATTTTTTGTTAACTTTAAATTTTATTGTATCATGGGGAAAGTATAAGAGAGACATTTGTTGTCAACTTGTAGCTTTTATTAACGAGGCAAGGGAAATGGTTATTGTGTATGACAAGCACTATATGTCATAAGCCCTTTTAACATCTCTTGGTACATTGGAATTGATTTGTTGGTCCTTCCAAGTTCTGCTTTGCATTTTATATAAATATTGAATTATGATATGGAATGTTTTTATTACTTTTGTTACCATTGCCAATGCTATTGCATTCAATTTCTGCTACTTGAAATCTTTCCGAAAATTTTGAACTAAAACTACTCTCCCAAATTCCTCCCTGGGGCTTCATGAGATTAACATAATTAAGATCCCCACTTGTTATTGGTGCTTCTTTAGTCTTTGGATGATATTGTAGAAGTTTTTGCTTTACCACCTTTTCCATATGATGATGGAACTTTTGATCTCACTATCTTCTACTATTAGTTTCTCAAATAATCAAATAGGCCAAGATCTTATGAGAAACCTTGAGTGATCTTGCAGTTGTGAATTATAACTCCCTATCATAGAATATCTTGGACTGATCTTAGTTTGGCATCTTCAGAGTCAATAGCTCCGCCCCTGCTTGAGACGGGACGGCAGACGGCGACTACAGTTGGCATACTTCTGAGATTTCTGAGTGTGGCACTCGTGTATTCAAATTTCAGATTTCAAAAGGTATTGTTCTCATTTCTCAACAAATGTCCTCATCTTCTGTTGAACGTCCATTTCCTACTAAAATCTGTTTCAGTTAATGCTATAAAGTGCTTTAGTGTATTGGATGCATTTACTGTTGCGTGTTGAGATATTATCCAGCAAAACTCCAGTTGGCAAGTTGTTTTTTCTTTTCTTGATAAAGCCTGTTAGGCTTGTCCGTTTTGGCCTTTTCCCTTCATGTCATTTGTGGGTAGACTATAGTGGCATTTACAAAATTTTACTTATTCTCAATTTCTTAGACGACTTGTTATGCAATAGTTGCATAGGTATGTTAGCATAAGTGTACACCTGGCATTAGGTCCCATTATGTGGTCTATGTTTACGGTATTCTCTAGTTCTTGATGTATGGTTAAATAGCCTGTAGTCTATATATAACCAGGCTTAGCATTGTACAGATTATTCAATAAAATCAAATTTACTTTCCATGTTCTTTCTGGCTTCTTTCCCTTCCGGTGTGTCCTACTCACATGGTATCAGAGCATATTGCCTAGCGGCTTTCATTCTTGCTTCCGTTCATGGCCGATCTAGGATCGTCGGCATCCACGCAAGGA